AAATTCAGGCATTTCTGTCTCCTTTAAAACACCTTTAATAGGTTTAAATGAACTTTCTCAGAGGCAGAGTAATTTGGGACTAATACGTTAGGGCTTTTTCACTCAATTTGAAAAATTGATAAATCAGGACAATTATTGCTACATATTGATTTTTTTTAATTATTTAAAACACAGATTTCTGTTTCATATTTTCTTTTCTTTTCCCAAGAAACCAAAAAGACACCTTTTTCTGGTAAGCTACAAAATATTCTCATACAAGATAACCTGCCATGTCATTTTGAAATGGCTTTGGCTACAATTTGTTTGTTTATTGTATAATTTCTTTTCCCTGCTATTTGTAACTAGTAGCACTACCTATTTTTTTCTTTTAAAACTGACCTCCTTGAAAAGGAGGTAGTTTGTGGCAAAATGATGTTCTTGTATGCTATTTGTTAGGAATGCATCCATAATAATTCTCAATGCTCATTTACTCATAAACATAAAAAAATTCACCAGTGCCAACATCCGATACCATGTGGCGTAAGCTGAGTGTACGCTGCCTTACTAATGAACAAACAACTCTAGCTGGCAGTGCTAGGGATTGTGCGTAGATAGAACAAATAAAGTAATACGTTTTGTTGTTGGCCTAAAGGCGTATGCTGTTTTGCTTTTCTCTGGTGGGAAACACTGTAAACTAAAATACTATAAACTGGCTGCTCGTGGTGTCACAAGTGTTAAATTACTGCATCTTTGATAGGTTTAAATAAACTTTCATAAATAAAATGTGAACGTCATAACAATTTTGTATGTGCTTCTCCTGTAAAACAAGTTTACAGATATGGATGTCATCTTTCTTAAAGCACATGTACTACTGACTCCTTTAGACAGCCACACACATCTGTCCTCAATGGAGAACATTTTTCAATTACAAAGTACGTAAAAGAACATACAGGTCACAGGGAGATTGAAATGTAATGTCTTCACATAAGGATGAGAGAATTCAACTGAAAATTAAAAAAAATATATACACACAGTTTTATATAATTTATTCATCTTGACATACATGGTACAGTTTTATTATACAGTGGTAAGTGGCAAAATTGTCATGCCTAATGGCAGGAGAAAACATTTTTGTTCAAAATGTAGTTACAAAATATTTACTTGCACTAGGAGAGAACAGAAAGCTTGGAATGTAGTGAGATTGTGTTGTGCTTCTCTGCCATCAGGACTGCAGAGCTTTGATTGTGAAACAGATGAAATGGCAGTAATGAGACCATGAGGTAAAACACTAGCAAGTTGCCCAAATCAAATCTTGATAGCAGTGAGTATGCTGCCTTGTTGAAGTATGATTTGCTTTTGTCAAAACGTAGTGTCCTTCTATTTCGTTCAGTAAGAATCTAAACTTGTATTAACCCTCCAGACCCCAGCAGAATTCTACAACACTTTAGTGGATTCATAGACATCTTCAAAGTTTGGGGCTGATCACCGTTTTAAACAAACTGTGATTTCTTTTTAATGGTTAGTGTTGCCACTTTGTAATTGTAATATTGCAAGTACGTAATAAAAATGTGTTCCTTCAAAATTGACTACAACAACTAATAATGTTAACACCATCGTTTCTTAACGATGAAAGCAATGGCTTACTAGGCAAAAATGGGGGAAAAAAGTTATACCCATGTAGCTAAAGGCTGCATACTTAGCCTAAAAATAAAGCTACAATTTCATAAGCTTCTCTGTTTCTACGAAAGACTGTTGGTAAGACACGTTTTCCAAAAATGTTAAAATAATAACCAAAAGGAACACCAATGGCAATTGGCAAATACAAGTTTGTCTGACTTTGTTAAACGAGAAATCATTCTAGCTAACTGCTTTAGTTGATTCTTATTGGCTATTAACTGTCGCTATAAACTGATGCAATTTGGTGTCAAAGCCTGAAAAGTCATAGATACTGAAATAGAATTATGTTCACTTACTATATGTCCGTTATGGTACTTGTGATGGAACATGAACATTTTGATTAAAAAGCTAAAAATCTGATGATCTAAAATGTCATTTGTACCAAAGGTTTCTGTAGTTATTCTGCTTTCTGTCAGAATTCACTACAGGAAATTACAGCCATCCATGGTCATAACAGGAAAAACACATCATCTGGCAAAGGCCACTGTTGGGTCTAAAGGGTTAATAGGGGTTTGATAAGATTTTCAAATCTGAGTTCCAGATTTTTTTTCAATATTTTATGTTTCAGAAATGTGTTGATTCTACAGATCTCTAATTATATACTTTATAAACATTGCGTTTCATTTTTTTGATACAGTATTAAAACCATTGCAACTGTATTACTGATTAGTGTGGTTTTTCAAATTGAGGTCAATCTATACTGCACTGTACTGTTCCATTAGTCACAGAGGTTCTGTGCGGATTGATGTTTTTGTGCTTATAAATGCCAGTGGAAGTTGCGTTTAGCTAAATCATGGCAGTATGGAATTGCTTTTGCCAATTTTTTAATACAAAAGACCAGCTAAATCTAATGATGCAAATAGAAGACTGAAAATTAGAAATGGGCCAAAATTGTGTATTTATATGACTAAGCTATACTTTGGCTCTTTTCATCACACTTGCTTTATTTTGACCCTCTTCTAAGTAAAACTAGGCTTTTAACCAGATTATATCCAATCAAAGCTGCGAATAAACAGTTTGTTCTATCTGCTCCTATTCAGTTTTCTGTACACAGTAGGAGTGAAATGTGATGTGGAAGACAGAGCATGCATGCTTAAAACTAGGACTAGCAGCAAATTATTTCAAATTTTTATCATTTTTTTATGATTTTCTGCTTATTTATGTTTTTTTCCCAGAATAGAGTAACTTAAATGGTTAAATCATATTTGGGTCTTTCTAATTTGGTAACATAGGAAACCTATAGAAATACATCAACAGGAACTTTGGTATTTGAATGTCTACAGAGTCTGCTGAGAGAATATTAAAATAATTTAGTGTTGTAGATATACAGAATAAGTCAAAGTCCAAACAGAAATATGAGAATATAATAATATTCTTACGTACAAAGTTTCTTGAATGATATTAAAATATATTGTTTTCATTTTCATAAATGGTAATGAATGTGCATAGCCTAATTTTTTAGTTGATCTGATTTTCTAGCACAAACCAAGAACCAAAGTGAATGTGATGAAGTTTGCTGGCTTTTAACATTAGATTTCTGAACTAGGTTAATGAGGATGTAGTTAATAGCTAAGTGGACACTGTTGTGAATCTGTATCTTTTATGATCTTAAAGAAGCCTATAAGCAGTAACTAGGCTACAGTATTATGAATGAGCATGGGGGATCTTCTTGATGGCCATGAAACAACATTCATGCACTTTCACTGAACTTATTTAACAAGAACAACACAATTAACAGAAATTTACCAAGGATAAGGTGCAGTGCAATTTAAGCGATGCATGCAAGAACATTCTCTAAAGAATGAGGTTGAACAGTCCCAGTACTGATTCTTCAGTGTTTGTTGGTATTAAGTCTGCCAGTCCCTCACAGTGTAATGAGAAATGCATATATACAGTAAAACCATGCCTTGTGTTGTGGCCTGTTAAAGGGGAATTCCACCAAAAAAATCTGTGTTTAAATAGGCCACACTATTGGAAAGCCTTTTTCAGTCAGGGAATTGCTAGATATAGAAGTGTGCACTACACAGTTTTTAGCCTGAATTTACCCCTGATTTGCCCCTGTTAACAATTCAAAATCAACAGTGTGAAAATGAAATGAGTCAGTTGTTCCAGTCTAGCTCTAGAGTGACTGAAGGCCTGCCAGTATTTATTTTCAAAAGTTGTAAAAACCAAACATTTGTAAGCAGTTATATTCTATTACATGCATAATGTTCCATGTGTAATGATTTGATCTATCTGATGTCTGACTTGCAGTTACTAGTCACAAGTGAGCTGTTTGTCCTTATTTGTTACAAAAACAAAAATCCAGTCAGTTGTATTAACCTAGTAATTGGGTTAAGTCTATTTATATTAAAGTGGGATGACATAAGATCTCTTTGCAAGAAAGAAGGTCTTTGTGCCTGGGCTTGACGTCAGGAAAATAACACTTTGCCCTAAGAGTAGGTCTGGGGTATACGTGCTATTTTGGACCAAAAAGGATTAAAAATAGTACTGCATGCAAGATACTATGTAGGATTTTAGAGATGAAATAACTGAGGATGGAAACTAACAAAACATCACTCCTTTAGTCTTAGCATTCTGTTAATCCAAACACCCAGGAACCAAGCACCACAATGGATAGCAGTAAAGTCTAATGTTCTGCTCTGAATCTGAACTGTTCTGTTAGACCAGGAAATGGCAATATAGCCGAGCTAGCTATATAGCTGTGGATCAACAATAGCAACAATACATGATTACAGATTATGGTGTATATCTTGCATGTTGAAACAGTTTATGTGGCCAGTTTTGCATTGCCATTTATCTGCTATAGATTTTGTGTTCTTTTGTTTCTGTACTGTCTTCAGCAATGCATTTTGCTACATTCATAGAACGTATTTCTGATGTCATAAATGTGAACATGTAAACCTGTAAGATGTTAGTGGAATTTCCCTTTAAAGAGACATCATAGCAGTGTGAGTGTGCATACAAAGGTAAGTAGGCCCCTATTTGCAAGTACTGTTTCCATGCTACTTGTATGTAATATTTAATTCAAATATAAAAGTCACAATTGATCAGTTTATGAGTCAGGTTATTATGGGGAGTGGCAGTGAGGTTTAGTGAGCTTTAGTCAGTATTCAGCACTCTGCATTATTTTAATTTTTTTGGCCACCAGTGGTGATATGTAGCTTTTCAGTTGTAATTGTCAGTGAATTTAGGTGCTTGATTGTCAGATATTTAAAAATTATAGGCCTAATTTATAGAGATCGGTTTGGAACGTTTTGAAATAGATAGGCTTGCATTCTCTTTTAAGTAGCCTAATAGATCCGTTCTGTCAGATCAAATGAAAACTGTAACTGGGTAGCAATTTGTGAAGTTACCAAGAAACTGAAATTTGGCAATTACAAGATCAAAAGTGAACCTGGGTAAATTAGTCTATTAAATGTTTCCTTCTTACACATGATGATTATTACTGCAGCTATAAAAAACTGCAGTGTTGTGTACTTCACCATAATTTACTTATACAGCTATTTGTGGTTATTCAACTAAGAAGTAAAGCAGTTTGGTGTCTATATCTTACAGTTGTTTAGCACTTACTCGTCCAAGGATTGAATACAAGACAAGGTTACACTTCTTTGGACTAGAGAAGGTAAACAAGTGGTGATCATACCTTTTAGGAATTTCATTAACCGCTTACTAATGACTAAAAATACTTACAGTTTACAGAGCTTCCTACACACATCCTGAGAGCGGTGTAGGTCCACTTGTTTAGAGTGGGCTGTAGTGATCATACAATGAATCATGCACCGTTAATACCGTTACATTCTGAATTCTAAGTTGAGTAAACGCAGTCTTTAGTTTATGTCTTTGAAAAAGTGGAAGAAGTGAAAGTGTGGGTGCAGTTAAAAGTGCTGAATCCAGGCAAAGTGACTCTGCCATGAGTGTAGATGTCTCGGTCAGAACCCTGGTTCATCCTCTTCACCAAGTTCTTCTCATAGAGCAGTGGGTGGTAGGCACCCAGTGTGCAGGCTGCATCACTGAAGCGCTGGTAGTAGTGGCAGAGCTCGGTTTTGCGACGCGATGGCAAGAATTCATACACATGAACCACATCACAAAGTGACATCATCAGTACTGTCCCTGGAGTGAAACAGAAGATCTCTTTACAGGACTAGTGAGAGTAACCCCTTGGTTCTTAAAGCAACCCCTACATTTACACAAATTGATTTAAATTTAGATGTATGCAGACCCTTTATCTGTGAACCTCAATTTAGTGGGTTTAGATATAATTCCTCACATTAGCTGCGTTCCAAAGCCTCGGGCTGCCGCTGAGGTAGTGCGGGTCCTCAATAGGACTGTCTTATGAAGACTCCTCCTTAGTAGCCTACTGGTCACACAAATGGAACAGTCCTAACAAGGAGGTGTGGTGACATCACCAGAGCAGCGCGAAACTCGTGAGGGAACTGGAGAGAGAAAATGGAGGGTCGTCCTGATGTTGCAGAGTGAGGTGTGGCCCTGGGTTTAGAAGGGGAGGTGCTTAAATTGAATTTGTTCAACCATTTACAAAGTTCATCCCTGGGTCAGCACAACTGCATGATGCCCCCAGATCAAGATTGGATGATGTTCTTGGGACTACATAACATGCTAACAAACAGGCTGCAAACAGGCTAAAAGCTCAACTTCTATAACTTTGTCACTTCAGATGTATGAAAAAATGTTGGAAATTGTTCCAAGCTAAATTTTAACAGTATTAAAAGGGCATTAAATGAGTAATCAGGCTTACCTATAGGGTAGCCAGATTGCTTAACTACCTAGCATTGCAGTAGCTAACAGACATTAACTAACCAAACTAAATAAATAAAAAGTAAACTAGTCACATGTGGTGATGTCATAGCATGAATTTTGTGATTGGTTGAACAAATTCAATTCACGCGCCTCCCATATTGACCCAGGGCCACGGCTCACTCTGCAATATCAGGAGAAATCACTCCGAATGTAGGCAGCATTTCAAGGCTGTTTATGAGGGGTCAATTTGGAACAGACTTCTATGATATAGTGACCGAGAAATGCAGCGTAGGCATTGGAACGCAGCTACAGTCTTAATGTTTATAAATATATAATCATTTAATAAACTGTCAACATGTCAGCAATTTTATATAAATATGAAATGTTTCAAAGTAATCAAACCTCTTCACATGTTTGTCTTTTTATGTCAATGATATTTTAGTTGTTTGAGTAAAATTCAACATCACCTACCTAATAGGCCTGAAGATGGTGGGTTCTTTTGGATAGGCTCACCCATATTGTCTTGTACCCGTCTCCATAATTGCCACTCCACACTGGGATGTAGGATATAAAAAGGCTGTTGAGGGTGTAGCCGTCGGTAGCGCTGATATTGTTTAAATATTGGGTAATCTGTCTTGTTGTACCACTGAAACATAAAAGGTAAGATTCTGAGTGGAAAATAGTGGAGAATGCTACTAATAAAATTCACTACCCTGATATCATCTAAATATGTCATGGTGACAGACCATATGTAAGATTGTCTTAATAAAGTTAATGACCCAATGCTTCCTGTGTAGCGCTACTTTACGCAGAGAAATGTAATATTTATTTTTCACAGATTTTGAACTGTTCCTTCAAAACAATTTGAATCGCATAGCAAATAACATACATGTCAGTTAATTGTCATGGCCTTGGATACCAGAGAAGATTTCACAATATAGAATGAAAAATTGAAAACAAACTGCATGACAACAAGGATAGGGCTATTTTATGAGAATTGTATCATGCATTTAATGCTCATTATCTAGCAAGTATTTAACTAAAAATATTGCTGAAACTTAGAAGCACAGAATGTCAGTATCACAGTGTACTGGTATAAAGGGTTTTGCAGCAAGGCTATCGAGCTATGGACCCAGAAACACGCACATAGAGACCAGCACAGGTGCAAAGTACATGAGTACCTGTACAGAATTTGGTTAGCCTTCTTACTGGGGTACAAAGTGTGCCAAGATGTAAGACATAGGTGAAGCTGGAAATACTGCAGACCATCACATAAAACCAAACTGCAAGTAAAGGGTAAATCTGAACTTGAAGCTCCTTTTCCTTTACTGTTGTTTGTGTTTACATGTGACCATGCAAGCCAAAGAAACCAGCCTAGTTTCATGATTCTGTTGTGCACTGGGAAACGGATACAACTACTTGATCATGCTACAGATAATTTAGGCCTTGAAATTGTAAACGTACTGTCCTGTACCATACTGCATGGTGGAAAATGCCATAACTCTGTGCATGTCTTGAGGAGACCCTCCTGAAGGCCAGAGAGTAATCTGAATACTGGACACCTGCCACTGTTTACACACTTCCCACCCATGATTCCATGGAGAGAACTGTGCAGGAGGAAACTAAAATAAGAAAGGCAGCAGCAGACAAAAAGCAGATGTTCTGCAATGTTGTCTTTCCTTGGGCCAGCCAGTCACACTGAATGCAAGACAATGATAGCTCAGCCATCTGCTAACAAAAACGCTGTGTTTTAATGACTGTCTAAAACAGTGTGGTGATGCAAGAGACAAACACACAACGTCCTTCCCTACGTTATGCCGTCTACACACAAGGATGAGGAGCACAGCCATTATGGTAGTACAGAAAGACTTGTTAGGCTGCATAGGTTTAGATGATATTATTGACTGAATATGATTGAGAAGATGCTGCAGTCTGCTACTACCTCCTAATATGAACACATGCAGTTTGGACTATATCTTGGACATATCTATATCTATATCTTGGTCCAAAGCCTAGTGAAGGCTATGTGATTGCAGAAGGGGAAAAAAAAAACATGAAGCCAAAAAATGTTTCAGAGGTTGAAACTGAAAGTTCATGTCAAGCAGTTTTTTATATAATATCTGAACAACTCATAACTACTTATGTTACGTTCTTGTCAGAATTTCATCCAGAACGACTAGCTAGCTAAATATCATATCCTTCTGCAGCCTCTGCCGCAGCTACTGCTACATGCACATACTTGCTGCTGGTGAGGTATTCAGGTATTTTATGAAAGTGGCAGAAGCATGTAGCAGTAGTTACAATAAAGACATTGGGAATCTCCTGCAGCCTTCCAGGCCATGGCATTTAGATAACTAGCTCTACTGGAAGAAATTACTAAGAAGGAATCACCTGAAAGTACTACACTTGTTAGATCAAATATTCACTCTATGATTATGAATTTCTGATGGAAAAATGCCTTTTAGAAATACAGTAAAAATATAAACTGACATTGAGAATACTCTGAATTTATAACATAGTGGAAAGTTACACAGACAAGGAGAATGCCACGGTTTACCTCATTAAGGTCTGAAGAGTAAGGTGCAGGATCCCAGGCTACTAAAATCCCAGTACTGTATAAAGAACTGGAGAGGAAATGATGATCTTCTGATGCCATCACCTTAAAATGAATAAAACTGTCATTAGCTGTTATTCTGTATTGTTACGCTGTAGTGAATAGTTGTTTTTTTCCCTTAACTTTCTATGCATGTTTTGAAGGTTTATAAATACCTGGGAATTGATCAAGCGTACTGTAGTTTTAGAGCCCACATCTTTCTCAAAGCCAGCAGTGGGTGCAGCATTGAATCTTACGACTGCATCATGAGAATCTGGAAAAACAGTATTTTCAAAGACATTTGCATTTTATTGTGCTTAAGAATTATTAATTATAGTCTTGCTTAATATAATTATTTAAATACTTTTGGAACTATCAGTATCAGTCAAGCACCTGAAAAAGAGTAGAGCCACCGTATGCCTTCAGAACAGCTTTAATTCTTTTTGGAATAATGAATTTACTTAGCAGGACAGACTCCTTCCTTTAAAGGTGAAGTGTATTAGATTTAGTGGCATCTAGTGGTGAGGCTGCAGATTGCAAACAACCAAATACTCCTCCCTCACCCCTCCGTTTCCAAGCGTGTAATAGCACCTACAGTGGCTGTCAGGTTTTCTGATTTCGCCTGTCCCAATTTTGTTTTGCTTCATGTTTTCGCTTCTTTGTTGATGAGGTTTTCATTTCTGCTAATATATCCCACCAAAACTTACACACTGCACCTTTAGGAAGACCTCACATTTCTTGGGTTATGTGACTATGCAGGTCAAGCATCAGATCTAATGTCTTTCCAAGGTTGGCTTCTCATACCATCATGGATCCATGTTTAAAAGTTATCAGCAAGCATTGTGATTTGGGGACATTATTTGGTCTTTTCTGAATGCAAACCCTTCCGTGTTAAAAAATGTGAGAAAGGAATTGCCTGGGTTTCTTTATTATTTCTCTTTATTGAGCATCGGGAATTTTTATATATCAGTAAAGGTAATTGATAGAAAAAAGTATGTAAAACTTTATTGCTGAAACAAATGCTATCTGTAGTTGCTCATCAATGCTGTGCAGCAGTTAGACAAAGGTATTTTTATTTATGTCTGTGTTTAATAGTTTCATTACCTTTTTCTATTTTAAACCATTTCACTTCATGTATGTGAAGTTCTGCTTGAAAACCCTACTTCATTTCAGTAGCACTAAAGTCATTACTCTGACTTGGCCACAACATTTCTTCTGTTTGAGTAAGCAACCTCTGTAGTAGTCTTGATCATCATTGAGAACCTGCTGTAGACCTTTCTGATACAACTTGGAATTAATTAGCACCTCAATGATTGCCATTTAGGCCCTGAGGCAGCAAAGCAGCTCTGAGTGGTTATACTCTCTTTGACAAGCTTCACAGTTAATGTTTTTATGTTGATATGCAGTGTTTTGTTTTCTCTTAACATAACACGCTATACATTTACCAAAAGGTAGCATTTACCACATCCAGGTGGTCTTTTGTATTCAACAGACAGCAAGGTTTTGAATGAGGGGTTTCCTGTGTAGCAACGTCCCAAAAATATTGTTTTAAACTAATGTTATTAAGTGCAAGATCCTTAGCGTAGCCCCCCTTAAATAAAACATGCATATATGCTGCCTGCAATTCCATTTCTCATCATTACTCTTGCGGCTTCTGATTTGTTGCCAACGGACATTCTGACCTAAGCATAGCCAGGCAAGCCAATACCTGAGCTCAAATTCGACGCATTACTCAGATCGCTCATATCATGCCGCTGCCCCAGGCACAATTGAAATTCAGTCACTTCCGGCCTCATTAACGCTACTTTCACAGATGTACATAGTAAATGTCTCGCTGTCAGTGGTCTGAGGGTTTTATGACTCTTGCAGTGATTATTATAAGATGTATAGCCCTAGGGAATTCGCATATGGGCTGATGAAAAACCAAGTTCTCAGAAATCCTTTTGTAATCTTCCCATCTTTTGATAAGGCCCTTCAGAAACAGATTTCTGATCTGGGAGTAGCAGGTAATGAATTTTTTATGGCAGAGCATGTTAAATACTCAAAAATATGACTGGATTGACTGTGACACCTGACTCCAGTTATCTGCTTTTCTAGAAGCTGTTAAGCTAAATGTCCACATACTTATTCCATCAGTGGCCCTGATTACTTAAACCTTTTGTTCAATGTAAAGCATTGAGTCTGTTGTTTGATAATTAAGATTTCTTCGTCCATTATATTAGGGGAGGATTGTATCACATTTTAGCAGCCATTCATGCAGAAATCTTACTAATTCTAAAGAGTTAACCAGCTGTTAACTGTCTGTCCTCCTTACGCTGTCCTGTATAATCTTTGTGTTGGCCTTCAGTGCAAGCAGTTTTTTTAAAGGCACAACCAAGTTCAAGAAGTATGTTTTTGCTGCGCCTGGGTAACAGAGGTTCTACATATCTTTAGATTTTGTCCCCTCACTTCTATACTGATGACAAAAATGAAATCCCATGGTAGAAAGAGCATAGTTGAATTAAAGCTGTGCTGATCTTTAGGCTTTAAATTAGCAGGTTAATCATGGGGCTTGTCATATAATCCTTTATGATAAAGATACTGTTTTGTATTTAGGCTGTTTTAGTTTTGTGAATTTGACGTTTTGACCTTATGTTGAACTATTTTACAGTCTTAACTAGCCCATCTTTCAGAGCACTGTCTGAAACTATAATATATACATAAATGCAAGCTATAAAGTATAATATACATAATTAAAATTAATAATATGCACCAATTTCTTTTCCTAATCCGGAGTTTCGCAGAGAGCCTGCAGATGACACGACTGCACATGTTTTAAATGGACCAAGGTCTGAGGTCAGGGGTCGTTGAGGCAGCAGGGAGGCCCAGGAAAATCCAGCAAATGGTTTCATCTCTGGTGTTAATGTGGTGATTTGCACCATCTCTTTGAGTTGGCACAGGAGTTCAGGGCCACTCAGTTTATGACGTCTCGTTGCACCCTCTGATCCTGAAAGTTGCACCCCATATTTATTCATTGCCTAAAAGAGAGGAAATGATTATTAGACAGAGGAAGGGAAACTTCCAGAGAAAAAAAAATATTTTCAGTTCACATGATGCATGTCCTCTGATGAACTATCCTTCAGTGGAATCATCTCAGTGATACACAATTTATGCAACTGTTTAATCTCCTGAGGATTATATGAACGGATTATTTTAAGGAATGGAAATATCCTCATGGATACTTTAGAGACGCAAATGCAGCTTTGGCGATATCATAGTCTAATTTCAGTTTTATATCGGAACAGTACAGATCACAGATCACACATGCTTGTTTACAAAATAAAAAAGAAAGAAACTGGGTGATTTTTACACGCTGGTTAGACTGTGTGGTATTATGTGAACTTGACAAGTTATTAAAAAGAGAAAACAAATTACAGTCCTTTACCTACTGAAGTACAGCCAAACATACATTGGAAGGACATTCTTCTAGCATTCTAACATTCATCAGCAAACCTGGGGGGGTAACAGACCCTGTTTATACCTGGTCACTTCACGTGACTAGTATCTGGATTGTATCCTGGCAGAATTTTAGCCACATGTAAAATGCGTCTCTGGTTAGTCGGACTGAAATGTGATTGCTGTTTGGGACGGAATATGCAAACAATTACCAATTGTTTATCCACTCAGCCTCTTTGTCTGCGGTTTGTTTTGCAGTGGTGTCTGTTCATATTGCTTTAAGCATTTTGTTTCATTCGGTCCTCAACCACGTGCGTTCTGCATGATTATCTTGTTGCAGACACGGATCACGTGCCCAGTGAGGTACTGCATAGGGAGCAGTTTCAGTTGTCAAATGTGTCTTGGAGAGACGGATGCGTTTACACTGCTGTGACGTGTGGCTCTTAGGGGCCTTTAGACTTGCATTTTTATGTGGCTTGATGTTATCCAGATATATTCCTGGTACTCAAGACGCATGAAGTGACCTTTAGATACTGGATCCATCAAATACTTTCTACAAAGCAGTACACTGTGAAGCTATATCATCATGTAAAAATTTCACCACAATTGATTTGCCAAGTCATAGGAATATCTTCGGAATCCGAATCCGAAAATTTTCAACAGACTAATACACCTTTGGAATTTTTACAAAATGTATTATAATTAGACAAAAAAGCTGTGCATTTATAATGATTTCAATGCCATTGTAATTTAATCTAATAAATGAAAGATTTAAATGAGAGATGCTTTAAATTAGGCATGAAATTACCACAAAGTCAGGAATTTCCTATGTTTGAATTAAAAACGACTGATGAATGAGTAGTTATATTTTTACATGATTGTTTCTTTATTTGTGATGGATATACTTTCAGACATGTAGCATCTATATCACACAGTTTAGCCCATAGCAACTGTCTTACTAAGTAAGTATGTAGTTTCTTAGTAATTGGCTGTAGAAATGTAGAAATTGTAGCTGAGACTGTTAGAGGCAAGACTGAGTCAAGACCAAGACCAGAATGAGACATTTTCAGAGTAATATTATCATCTGGTCTTTGTCCAACTCTGCATACTAATTTTTCTGAACAAATCATGGCAACATTAATCAGCCTTAATGTTAGGCTATTAAATAAAACATAATTGAATGGAAAATGAATGAGAGCAGCAGTGATGTTTTTTTCCCGTTAGCCAATTTGTTTACAGATTTTATTTTTAACATTTGTAGAACGGACAGTTTTAGAGTGTATTGTTGATAGAGGGGCTGCTGTTATGGCAAATTTTCAACACAGCGATGAGTAGGAGAGGGGTTTGAGTAGCATATATTCAAAACTTCATATTTTTGTTTAATATTTAAATACTGTGGTATTTTAATAAAAATATTAATATTTTAATCATTAAGAGATCCATAATTATATGCATAAAGTTGATTAACAAAGTGTATTAATCCTCTCACTAAGGATAGGCTTTGCTATGTGTAAGTTAGGGGATTTTGGCATTGGAGAGTCCCTGAAATTCAGAAGCATCTAGAAGCCAGTGTACATTGTTGTAAGGGCAAGCTGACCCCCAAAGAGTGAGGTAAGCTGATAAGGAACCAGTCAAAGTCAGTTTTGGAGCCAGTTTAATAAAGCAAGAGTTAATTGATAGCCTTGAGAGGATGGGGCGGCGTGGTACAGCCAAGCATGGAAAGTTTAAAAAAAAAAACAATGTCAGGTGCGGTCGGAAATAAGGGTTTCCAAATAAAGTGTAGAATCACAAAATAATGGGAATCAGAATGATATAGGACAATGTGAGAGGGAGGGGGCGATTACTTCATCGCCCCCAAACACGATATAAAAAAAGGATGTTTCTATGATGTATTTTGCATTTGGTTGTCCGGAAGCCATCTTGCCACCTGAAGCTCAATAAAGAAGAAAGCCTTTTCCTTCCTTCCAAAAGAACTCAGTGGCTGAAGTCTTTTATTCAACTTTCTTTTATTTTTGACTGAACTTTATTTTATTTTGCGTTTATGACGAGAACAAGTGATTAGATTTATTGAAGAACTGAAACATAGTTATAGAACAGTTTAGTGTTTAATCATCCGTATGTTGGGGTTTTGAGTGAGCAGGAATTCGCACTTAGTCCCGACAATACATAAAAAGTATAGGCCTGTATCTGTGTATAGGTTTAAACTGACCAACCTTGGCTAACTTGCAGGACATGTATTACTGAATATAAAATGTCAAACAGCACAAAATAGGCTCGTATTACAATATGACTGACATACAGATGGTCTAAGTTTTTTGTGTAAAATCTTTAACTATTGCTTTTGAAAAGACGACTTTCTTTTTGTCTTGCTGCCCCAAACTCTCCTCACCTGATAGTTCTGTACCACCTTCCTCAGTCGTTTTCCAAGCATAGTGCTGGACATTTCATCATCCCATATCTCTCCTAGAGCTCCATGAGGTCCAAAGAACTCTGCATCTCCTTTCAGACCGCCTGCATCTGCTCTTCTTCTGCCTCCAAGGATAGTCTCAAGGGCACGTCTTAAGGGTCTGCCCAAGAGCCAGGACAGAAGCCCATGTGGCTCCCTGTCTCTGTTTCTGAAGGGGTGGTCCTTGCGGCTTCCCTCCATAGCGTATGTGGAGGATGACAGGACAGGGATAGGCTTTTGAGGGTCACCCGGAATGACTCCTGGGAGCTTTTGAGGGTCCACGTACATGGTTTTAGCTCCTACTCCCCTCAGGACCTGTAATTGATCAGTGAACATGGATGATTCTTAGTTACACAGATTGCATAGAATGCATTCTTATGACTTTTTTATAAGTAGTTACATAGTTTGCTTTTTGTCTTTTGTAATTATTCTGAAATAAAAGCATCTGTGAATGTAATCTGCATGTACATTAATTTATAAGAGGTTAAGGACCTTCCTGTACCTTTACAATGGAGTGTGTCCGAGGTTGTGCTCGAGTTCTTGCCCTCACCCCAAAGATAGCATCAGTAACAGGTACGCTGTTTTCAGCACACAGTGTATACAACACAGCCATGGTCATGCAAAATAATGCCATGCACAAAGCTCCTCGACGAGCTCGACGCCGTAACCGCCAAAGCAGGCTTACACGATCCATTGCAGCGCCTGGGATCTGGGAAAGACAGGGATAGTCAGCAAGTGAATTTGTTTCTGGGAAAATGGTGTTGAGTGATAAAGTTTGAGGGCAAAATCAAGGTAAAAGTGGAATGTCCAAAAAAAAGCTGGTTAAAAGGATTTTGGTTTTATTTTAGAACAGCTTTGTAAGTGAAATTAGGTCTTCAGCTCTTGATCCTGGGAGGACGACCAGAGACTGCAATCATTTAATAAAGAAAATTGCAACAGATTAAATAAGTGGACTCAGGAGGATGGACAGTAATGCTAAGTTGTAGCATGACCCAGATTGAATTGGAGCATTCAGCTCAGAGTTAAGAGATTTAGGATGTAGGATACTTCCAACACATAAGAGAGATGGATTTCTCTTGCAATTACACTATACTCTTATATAATAAAGATGTCAAAAAGAGTTCTTTGCACAGTGCCCTAGAACAGCCACTTTTGGTTCAATAAGAGAACCTTTCAGTGAATGGATCTCTAAAGAACCATATTTGTAAATGAGATGTATGAGCAAGAAAAGACCTTTTTAAAGTTGAAAGAACCTCCACATAATGTAAAGTTTCTAGGAAGAACCCATAAACTGGTAAATAACCTTTATATTATGTGAAGGCTGTTTAAGCTATTAAAAAGTTGACAATCTCTATTCAGGCATGGTTATTTAGGGAACCAAAAGTGGTTCTTCTATGGCATCGTTCAGTAAACCCTTTGTAGCACCAAAGAGTGTATGTATATGTCTATAGAAGTGTGCAGACAACGGTCCGTCCAGTGTTTCTTCAGAAAGCAAGGGTATTTAATAGGGAGTTACCTTAGAACAAACTTGCAAGAACACAAGAACTGAGAAGGCACATGAAGTTTGAGATGTGCACTGTACTTGATGTTACACAATACTCTGAGCTTAAAAGCAACACAATAATAACTAAATTGAATGTGATGCGACTGCTCCAACACAAATGTGGCATTTTTCATTGCCATAATAAAGCCAAAGTTTGTTATTTCATAAATAAATCCTCTTCATCAGCTATGAGCATTTTTGTTTAAATGTTAAAGGAACTCTTTACCTAAAAGTAAGAAGCAGCTGAGCTATGCCTTGTCACTACACCGGAGGTGTAGCACTAACAAAATGGTAGTGCCCTTATATCTGTGGTGCATAACCTAACTTCTGTATGAGGTTTGGATGGTGTGTGTAATATTCCTGTTATATTGGTGCATTTAATTTGTACGCATTATGAAATGGTTGTAAGCGTAGGAAAATGTACACCCCTACATTTAAAGATAAACAGATCAAGGGCTAGACTAGTCTGTGTAAGTAGTATAGGGTTACACTGTGTATCTGTCACGCAAACATCAATAACTACAAACAGCTGTCAATAAGGGTTCAAGTTCAAACATATCTGACTCAATTGTTTTCCTCATTATAAAGCCCTTTATTAGATTAGTTGGATGTGATAATAATAATAATAATAATAATAATAATAATAACAACAATGCAGTAGAACAGGACAACAGATTCAAAGTGATAAAGTTTGAGCTTCATTGCACATGCAGTGTGAATGTGTTCAAAACATGGTCAGCCAGGTCAGCATGTAGTTTTATTTTGAGGCATGTTACAAGCCTTTTCAGTTCATTCACATTTGATTCCTCTGAGGTTCTATTCTCTTGCACTTAGGATCCCAAAAAGCATTAAACTAGTTCACTTTTATTGGAAAATTCATACATAAAAGCAGTTACAGTTTCATCAGGTTTGTCTTTGAACTGATGATGATGATGATGACGGTTACTCTTTACAGTGAATGACCTTTGGGAGTCTTGGGACTGTTTTGGGAAGTGTTTGTCTTGGGCTTTTTATGTAAGCTAACAATAAATCGTATTTGATTATTAATACTAATTATTGCATTTAATTAATAAAATCTAAATTATGTAAAAAAAAATGTAATTCATCAAAATGTGTTTTTCCTGATAGCAATGATATGGAAACAGGAGACAAAAGTTGATTGAAATTGAACAGGAATATAACAAGATCACAAACAAAGATTATGTTATCTGGACAATGCAGGTGAAGTCTTAGGTGACTTGAAAAACAAAGGTTGTGATCATTTCAGAGGTTGACTGAATAGCCTACATTCTTATTCAAGCAAAAGTATTACTTCCATGAAATAATGGCTCAAGTAAAAGAAATAACTATTAGTGAGTACCAGCTCAGCTGCAACAAAACGTCTTAGTACAAATGTCAATGGTGTGACCAATCACAAAGCAGGCCAGCTGCTGTCATAATACAGTGAAATCAACAAAAGAATTCATAATGGAGTGTTAATGACTGAAATGTAACTGAGTAACTCACAAATACAGAAGAAGTAAAAAGGTCTATGGTTTGAAAATACAAAATCAAAACAAGTGCATGAAACCTAATGTAACTAGTTACAGTTCATCCACACTTATTAATACTTATTAATGTATTTCCTGAGTTGAAAGTAGTTCCTATTATTTCACATCTCTCTCTGTAGGTGTTTTTCTTCAAGTTGCGTTAAATGATCTGAACAAACAAACAACTAATTTGATCAGCACTGCAGCATCTGAAATGTGCAAGATCTAACCCTCGGTTCCTGTGACTGTCAGTGGACACATTAATGGGTGCACAGAGAACATATTGATGTTACTGAACAAAGTTGGCTATGGTTCTGCTGTATATCATCAATGTGCTGTAGAAACCTGTGTGTACTGCTAAACATCCCCCTTCAACATTTCATGAGAAAACTTTTATTTATAAAAGAAAAACTGTTTTATTTGTTTACTGTCATATGGAGCTACGAATCTGCATTATATGCTGTTTTAAACCCTTTCATTGATTTTAGGAACCTCAGTCATACATCACTGCATTGATGGTGGATGACAGATTACAAACGACATACAAACTAAAAGCTGATTCAGGGTTTCTAGAGTGCACTGATCATATGAATCAGTTTGCTGGAATACTGTACAAGCATGTTTCCCTAATTTATATCAGCTTTATGTTAGAAATATCCTATGACATGCTTTGCAAACATGCATGTGGGTCATCATGTTAGTCATGTTAGTCACAGCACGGTGAATCACAAAAAGAGCAGATACATTACAGGCTATTCCACCTACATTAAAACCTATTATAGTTATATTACAGTCTATTCTAATTACATTATAAATAGGGGAGTAAAAGTAACACATTTTCAGGTTCTTGATTTCTTCAGTGTTTTATGGGTTAAAATGTCCCGATTCTACAGAGCTCCAATCACATATAACACAGATTGGTTTGGCTCAGAACAATACAATTTTATTTCGAAATGAAAGACTGCCAAGTAGCATGTCCTCATGCAAAACAGTGATCTTAATACAGTGAAACCGAGCTGTAAACAACATGAAAAACCTGAAGTGCCTTATACATATTACATTTTTGTACAAAGGCCTGGACATGGTCAGTTCAATAATTTGCTTAAATTTGCATAGTGGCCTAGAAATCATCATTTTACTTCTCATAACTTTTCTTTGTGTTAAATTTTTCAAACTTCTAAAACTTTCTGTAGGATTAAATGGAAATGAAAATAATGTATGGTGCTGTGTCAACTATCGTGGTTTCCACGGATGGCAAATTAGAGACCCTCAGAGGAGAGTGAGGGGGCACATCAACGATGCAAATTTAAATCGACAGTGTTTCGATTTTTGAAATTATCTTGATTATAATTACCGTTCTGGCTCTCAGGACTTATACAACACATAAAACACTAGCACTGGAGAGATGGTTTGAGTGGATCCATGCGATGTGGATGCTCAGAGGACCGCAGGCCTGTCTTACAGTCAGAATAAGGAGCGTAATGGACCGAGATTTGCTCTCAGCCCTCTGAATGAGTCAGTGTTACACCGGCCTAATGCCGCATTCTGCCTCTAATCCATCAGTGCACGTTTGTGGATGAACCGTCAGATGAATTTGTTGCAGCTTCAGAATTTGCATCAGTGACAAAAACGAGCCTGCCGCATATGAAATTCAATAATCTCATTGTTTTTGAATGAGAAACGCATCATTGTCTACTTTATGATACCAGTAACCGCAGTGAGAGATGCAAATATGATCTACCTGTGCCTAAACAGGAAAAACGACAGTCCGAAAAGGATGTAAAATGTGTCGAAGCATGTGACACGCATTGTTCAGCCGTAGGGAAATGCAGCAAATTCTGTGTGCATGCGGAGCTGTGCTGATGATAAGACTGCTCTTACCTTGTATCCCATCTTCTTCTGACGTCGTTTTCTCCAAGATGAGCTACTTTAGTCCCATCACCGTTGTTTATGTTTTTGTCTCCATACAGACCTCCCGCTTACTGATTTTTAAAAATATATTGGCTGGTCCAGTGGGTGTTATTAGAATAGAAAGACCCATTCATTTACTGAGTAGAGTGCAAGTCGTGATATTCGTGCGCCGTTAATAATAAAAAAAAGAAAACGTGACGAGTTTACGTGCTGATTTTCCTCGCGAAGTGATGTTTTCCCTTATCTTACGGTCATTATCTGCTTATTATGCTGCGTGGTGGAAATCCGCCATATTTATTTACCTCTCATCCGTCTGCGTTTGCTGATTGGCAGACTGAAAGAGAGCAAACACAAGATTGCGGGCGGCTGTCTTAATCCTGCAGGATGGTGTCTCTCAGCGTTGAGGTGGTCTGCTCTGTAGGAATCCCCTCTTTTACCTGGAGCGGGTAGAAATCTGAGGAAAAAGCCACCCAGGATGGAAGGATTTTGCTCTCGACACAGAGCTGGCTGTACTCTGTCAAAGATGGGCTGAAATTTATTTTAGGATTAATTAGACACGTTAAATCATTCGTGTTCTTAAACGAACGTAACTGCATTTTGTCCATGCAGTGTGCTGCTATGAACTGAATCACATTTATTTAAGGACATTCTTTTACTGCACCGCAGTGCGGATTAGTTCGCTGTATTTTGTTTCAGATAAATACGCGGCGGTAACGTTACTTAAAATATCACTCTTACGGCAACAGCTCTCTGAATAAAGACACAGAGCTGGGGGAGCTAATGCTACATACGCCATCATCCTCTTCATGCCTTGGTAGCCGTTTCTATTTAAACATCTACAGAAATATAAATTCGCTAATTGTTACTAACATATAAAAAATGGTAAAATTTAAGAAATGGCTTGTTCTCGGCTACCAGGTCCGGAACCAGTGTATTTATCTAGACATGACTGCGGTTTGTAGGCAGCTGGTTCCATAGTGTAGCGGTTATCACGTCTGCTTTACACGCAGAAGGTCCTGGGTTCGAGCCCCAGTGGAACCAGATGTTTTTCACTCGATATTTTACTGTGTTTTAAAATGAAATTGTGTTCGCTACAAACTTATGTGCACTTGTAATTATGTTTAATACATGTGCATAGTAATTTATATCAGCTCCAGGAGAAATATGCTTTCCATTGTTCTCTTCCTGTGTCATCTCTCCACTCTTGTACCTTTGTCTTGGGCTGGCAAAGAGGGAATTATTATTATTGTTATTATTTATTATTATTATTAATAATAAAGTAAAGCTTGTTTAATTACATATAATAATGCTAGAGGGTTAATTAACAGTAAGACAAGAAAATGATTTTTCCACTGTGGTCAAATTTCAGTGCTTGTAGTGAAGGGATGTAGGTTATTTCCCATAATCAATTTACAATTTTTTAATGTAGAATATTTTTCTTAAGAATGTATTTCTAGGAAATATAGTTCTTTGGCTTGTGACATGTTCCTTGAGAAGTGCACTATGACATGAGGTAAGGACTTGTTTATGCCCATCTCCAGTCTATCCTACCAGACATGGTGGCAGCCTGTGGTTCAGGAGCTGGAACTGGGTATTTCTGTCATCGTATAACTGGGTGACAGATGACCATTTGGAAGGTCTCTGGCCTGACTGAGAGCGACGCTTGCTGACGTTATTATGACGTAGATGAGCATGAGGGACAGTATCTTTGTTGACTTAATCTCACCAGTGACACTGTTAGTTTTGAGCCCATCTAAAAGTAAAAGTAACACATTCTCAGGTTCTTTCTTTCTTTCTTTTCAGTGTTTTATCGGTTAAAATGTCCCGATTCTACAGAGCTCCGATCACATATAACACAGATTGGTTTGACTCAGAACAATACAAATTTAATTTCAAAATGAAAGACTGCCAAGTAGCATGTCCTCATGCAAAACAGTGATTTTAATACAGTGAAACCGAGCTGTAAACAACATGAAAAACCTGAAGTGCCTTATACATATTACATTTTTGTACAAAGGCCTGGACATGGTCAGTTCAATAATTTGCTTAAATTTGCATAGTGGCCTAGAAATCATCATTTTAACTCTCAGAACTTTTCTGTTTTAAATTTTTCAAACTTCTAAAACTTTCTGTAGGATTAAATGGAAATGAAAATAATATATGGTGCTGTGTCAACTATCGTGGTTTCTACAAATGGCAAATTAGAGACCCTCAGAAGAGAGTGAGGGGGCACATCAACGATACAGATTTAGGAAAGGTCTCGCAACATTTTCACAAAACCAAATATATGAAAAAGGCATAAAGCTGAGAAAATGTATTTGAGGAGGTTTTATTGCCTCTAATATGGTTGCAGTCAAACTGCACATGATAACTGATAACGTGGTTAAATTGATTAACTGTGGTGTTTTATTCTTTTGGTTATCTCGTATATAAAAAAGACAATAAGCAACGAAACGTGTTAAAAAGTGGAGATGCCGGGGATTGAACCCGGGACCTCATACATGCGAAGCATGCGCTCTACCACTGAGCTACATCCCCACGTGATGAAGGAAGTCTCGGCGGGTGACAATTTATTTTGTTCTGGTCTGAGAGGTCTTTTGTTGAAGATGCATTTTTTTATCTGTTAATATATTGTTTTAGTAGTAAATTGTGCTTAATAGATAGTACACTTTACAGAGAAACGCTTAAACATAAAGCTTAAATTGGCTTATTTGTTTTGCTTTTATAGCCATGAAACACAAACACACTACTGAGGACTAAAACCCTGCTGAGGTCTATTCAAAACTATTACATAACTCTAAATGAAAATGGAGGTAGAGATAGATTTCAGCAGCATCATCACATTTTTTTGTATTGTGAAAGCATACAAACACTGTATTGATCCCCCTTGGTCCTATTGATTAACCCTGGTCCTATTTATTCATCGTGAGGTTCTGATCTCTGTGTGAACAGTTTTACTTGTTCACACTGGGATAATTGTGTGATAACTGAGTTCAGGCTCGGATTCAGATTTGCGTGCCTGTGCTAAATGAGGACAGTGTGTAACCTGTCGCTGTTATCGGAACAAAAGCCTCGTAACTTTACTGGACAAGGAAAAACAATCTTAACTTTTAATGGATGTAAACGGATAAGAAAAAATACCAAGTAACTTTGGGCCATTTCTGTTGGTCAGTTCATCATGAAATGTTGACACATAAAGGCAACTGGCCTTTTCAAACAGTGTCAAAAAAATTAAAACGGCAAAAATGGAGATACCATGTGTTGTACTGTCAATAACGCTGTGCTATTCTGTTTGCACGTTTTTCGTTTTGTTTCTTTATTTGGTTTTGTTGAGTTTTGGGAGACGAGTTTTTCTTTTGATTGTTGATTAAATGGTTTAAAATATTTGGCTCATTTAATCACTTTTAGTATCTAAGTCATTGAGAAAAAACTAACATTTAGTCCTCCTCGGTTTAGACAGTAGACTTTCGGGAAAAATTTGACAGGCACTGTAATGAAATTTCACACCAAAGATGCACATTTGGTGTAATTTTCAGTCAGGCAGCACTGCAATCAAATAACCGGGTAGATGAGCCTGTGAAGTACAGCTTGGTTTACACAGTAGTCGAATGAAAAATGAATAATTTTATGTTTTTGCTGTCTTTTTGAATTTAGTTTTCATGTCGGTCAGTGTCGTCGTCCACAAACCATTGTAAAGGGTCGATTTGGCGCGGTAAGCAAGCTGCGATGGCCGAGTGGTTAAGGCGTTGGACTTGAAATCCAATGGGGTCTCCCCGCGCAGGTTCGAACCCTGCTCGCAGCGCTGCGGCAAGACTGCCTTTTATGCTGATTGTTTCAACATCACTGTCTTCTCGTCAAATCATAAGTGAGTTTAAATAGTCTGGTACTGCATGATACATTCAGATGTAATTAAAATATTCCACACTAGCGCCATTCTACATTTCTGCTTTGTCACAGCTTCGGACGCCGCTTAAACAAGCTGGCATTTACAGTAAAGCGCTCAGTTACTGTGAGAACAATGACAGCGCGATACATCAGTAACCTTATAAAGACTGAACCACAGAAACTAATACTGATATTCTGTACAGTCGCAGCTTTGCACGTGTACCTTCTCGCCATGTGGGGGCACTAGTGGGATTTTTATTAGAATTAAATCTCTCTACTGTGTATCCCTGTAGACTAATAAAACCAGATTTTTTTCATCAGTTTCTTACTGCAATGAAAGCAGCCATTAAGCTGCTCTCTCATTTTAACTACATTTGAGCTTTAATGTTTGCAGACCTTTATTTTTGAAGGTCTGAGCTTTGGAAAAAATAATTACAGAAAGCGAATACAATGCAAACCAAATTGCAAAAAGATGTAATTCAGTTTATGCTTTCTTTATACTCAACAAACTGGGTCAACGGTTAATGTAAAATTACAGAGTGTACCTTTAGTGCTTGATAATGAACTACAAACTCCAGTGATAGTTGAGTCTAAGGACACTCTTCTTTGTTGGTCTTTGTTGGAAACACTATTAATGTAAGCGGTATGAGCAAAATTGTCTTTTTCCTTTTTTCACAAAGGCCCCCAAAATTTAATTATGTACTGTGTATACAGAACAAATAAACAAAATCTAGACTACACACATTGTAAATATACAAGACTATGCAGTGCAATACTAACTTACACTACAAAAAAAAAACAAAAAAAAAACAGCACAACTAGGCTCAAGGCCCTACAACGGTAAATACACATGAGACAACATAATAACGTTTTGGACGTTAATAATAAATGTATAAAAATATAAGTTCCTAGAAAGTGCAAAGAGTTCTGAGTAGACAGAGGAGGAGTCCTGAGTAACTGTGTGTAAATTATCTGTAACCTGTAATAGCAAGATGAGACCTGTAGGGGCCACTGTGTGCATGCACAGCCTGCTGTCATGTTTGTCACTGCAGTGACAATGCACTACAATGTTGTTAAATCTTTCTTTCATTTGTACATGCGTATTGGTAGTAACATCCTGTGTGTTGTAACAGAGTAAATAATTAAATATTATAACTATACTTATTATTATTATTACTAGTGGAAGATACAAAAGCTTGTTACGAAAGCTTATACATGTCAGAATTATTTTAGGTTTTGGGCTAAACTTAGCCCATCAGATGCTATAGCTAAAAGTGCTACGCAAACGGCACTACATGTTGTTTAAAAGGGCCAGTAATAATATACAGTCAAATATAAAGCACACTTCTTTTGTTGTGTATCTTTTTAAGAGGGTGTAAATTAGATGCACCAGCATTAAACAGTGAGCTAAACA